AAATCTCCTGCTCTGGGACGGAAGGAAGGGGAGGGGTAGAATTCTCCTCTAAACACCTCCGAAGCCACTCTTCGCCTCCGGAAATTTCTGCCTTCTCAATGAGGCGGCGAAAGAGGCTATCCATATCAAGGTTCTCAGTCTTCAGTGAGCAGCGGTCCGGTCCCTCAGCAGCTGCTGCATCTTGTGAGTAGCTGCTTTTATAGGGGGAAAAGCGCGGGCTGCGGATGTCCGCCAAAACGGCCCAATCAGCAACTGTTGCCACGCAGACTTCACTGGCAACCTAACAGAGTGGGAAGGAAAGTGTTATCCCTTTGTGCAATCCCATGTGGGTCCCGCTTAACGCTGTGGACCCTGTAATTCACAGGAAGGCCATGCAGATCTGTACACAAGAAAAGTCAATAAAGATATGTAAAGACAGAGAAGAGTCTCTTCAAGCATCTTTCTAGTTTACTGACTGCAGGGTTTAATTACATGACATTTGCACTGTGTATGCAGTTGAGGTAATGCTCTCTACTTGCTATTAACAAGCACATAACAGGCTGATTGAAGTTGTGCAGTGAAGGAGCCAGTAAAGAACAGACAGGTCAGTGTAAAGTCTCCAATGCTTGTGCAGCATATATTACATCAGCACCTTAGCAGCCTGTGTGAAACACACCGGAGTAATCGTGGAATGAACCCACTTACTGCTGCCTTATAGGAATATGTACTGTACGTGTCACACTGTCAATAAAAACCTACTCAATCTATATAGCAGCCATTTTTAGCAAGGGTTCCATGGATCTCTAGGGTTCCTCCAGAGGCTCCTTGAGCTGTGGCTGATTGACCACCTATTTGATGGAACCTGCATAGTTTCAGGGTCAATACCACTTGGCAGAGTCCGCTTCAGGACCTCAATCTCTTTAGCTGTCTACAAGGGTGGCATTCTGACCACAAATGTAAGAAGGGGATTATTGGTCACCAATGTAAGGAGCATTTTCCCCACTAACCCTCCCAATGAATTGGTTTTTGCTGGGGTTCCCAGAGACCTAAAAATGATATCAATGTTTCCTCTGGAGTAAAAAGTTTGAGGAACCAAAGTAGTCTAAAACCAGTGAACTAGGAAGACATGTTTCTACTGCCTCTGATGTTGCTTGTGGCAACACCTCAGTAGGCTCTTCTACTGAAATATCCACATTGTTTGGACAACTGTCCTCAACTGTAGACTCAGCAGCCATTTGGGAGAGGCGGCATCTGAATTGGAAGCAGAGCGCTTGTGAATCAAAGCCAGCAGCCTGACAGCTAACAGAAAGTTTGTTGCAGCCTCTGCTGGTTCTCAGTGCCTCCAGACTAAAAAATAGGCAGACAAGAATAACAGCCTATGAATAGTCTGGCAACCTTTGCAGTGGCACAATTTCAGAACCTTTGAAAATATCTATTTGTGACTTAATTTGCTGTTGCGAAATACAAAAGTCATCACATAGAGCAGTGCTGTGTCCTAATCATGGCCATATTTCTGTTAACAGCTCATCTGGTACTTCTGCAGCGTTGTGCAGAGGACACCACGGGACATGACAAGATTCACACTGCACTATGCATTCTATACCTAAATTGTAAAACCTAAGCACTGTGTGGGGTATATCTAGCAATGCCCTATGCAGAAAAACAGAAACTGCACTTGTTTTTAAAAAGACTCTCAATTAGAGTATTGCCACTTTTCATGGAAAAATGGGCACACTTAGTTTAAAGGAGAATTGTAATTTAAAATATTCTATTCTATAGCTGCATGCTCTTAATATCTTATTAGTATTAGGTGTACAAATAAAATTTGTATTTCACATGGCTTTATTTTTTTCCTTCATTCTCTCAAAGACCAAGCTGTTTAAACATAATGGCAGTGATGGGGTTAGAACAAACTACAGCAATGCCAGGGGTGCAGTCAACTAACCCCCCCCCCCCCCCCCCCCCCCCGCTTGCTGTCTCAGCCAATGAGGCAGAGACCCAGGACAGCCGAGGGTGTTGTACACAAATATGGATTGTGAGGGATCGCAATAAGAAAAAGCCTAAAGTGTTTGTCAAGGCTCAAACTTTTTTACCTTCATGCATTCTATGCAGGTAAAAAACCTTTAGCCTTTAAAACCACTTTAGGCTTTTTCTTTTGGGGTAAGAGTACCTTTCCCCTCATTACTTTCTTGATGAATTTGTCAAGGGATTCCCCAAAGAGTCATTCACCATCAATGGGCATGCACAGAAGACGATTCTTCCAAGCATGTCCAGCAGTCCAAGCTTTTAGCTATAAAATCCAGTGCACGTGCAAAAAGATAAGAGATTCTTGAGACTTGTTCGAATACATTTTTAAAAACATCAACACAAAACAAGAGGGCTGAAGGCATCAGTTGTAGTTGTTCTAGGAGAGAACTCCTTCAAAACAGAAGCTGACGTGTACCTGTGGCTGTGTCCCCTGTAGGATATGATAGCAGGAATGTACTAATGTACTGTGTACATTTTCAATGGATAAGGGGGGTTAAAACAGGACATCTGGGAGGCATGGTGCAGATACCTCATCTTTCTGAGACAAAGTCCAGAGAGAAAGGAAAAAATACCAAATTTAAAATGTTCACTGAGACATTAGAGACAATATGGCGGGTGGTGCCACAATAAAGTGAACAACACCCCACCCTATGCCCTCTAAACCACATTTTGTGCGTTTATATATATGTTAGGTCTATAGATAACCTTTGAGGCCTCATGCACACTGGACATTTTTGCAGATGCATCTAGGGGCACTGGATTTTTTTTTTCCTGACTCTAAACTCCCCCCTATGTGTCCATGCACACATAGGCTTTTAAGAGCATTTAGTGTCAGGGGTTTTTAAGAGGCAGAAAAAAAAACCACTTGTCCAGTAGTGGTGTTTTCACTGAAAAAATGCTTGACGGTTGGAAATGCTACTGTCCAAAGGTGCCCCCTGTACTTATTCATCCAGAGTGGGGGCAGGGAGCTGTGTCACTGACCAGGTGACAACAGAGGGGAAAAAAAACCTGAAAAAAAGAAAACCAATGCAGCCATCACATCTAATGATTGGTAAGCTGCAAAAGAATACGTTTTTGCTTTTGGAATTATTACCACTTTACCTTTTCATTAATGACACTGCTTGAGAGAAGACTGCAGAGTGCACAGAACAGCACTGGATTTCTGGCAGGATCAACATAAAATACTTCCACGGGATATTTACCAGTGCAAAAGAGAAAATAAACGGAGGTCCAATGTTTGGGTTTACATATACCTTACGGTATAACTAAAGTAAAAACTTTATTTAAGATTTGTATAGAGTGTATAGAGCACCAGGCAGGTTTTTATGCCTGTTAATTCAGGTTAACTGCTTAAGGACCGTCTTATAGCAGATATACTGCTACAGGGTAGAACCTTGCGTAAAATCACGTATATATATATTGTCATTTTGCATTTTCGGGTAGGGGGTCGCGTGCGCGCGAACCGTGTGTGCACCCTACCTGCGCCGCTGTTCACGGCTGCAGATGTCAATCACTGTGTCCCGGCCGGTAATTACCCGCCGGCGCCCGAGATTACTGAGCATCTCCGACGGCAAGGAAGATTGTTTGTTTACTGTCAGCTTGAGCACACTGCTCAAGCTGACAGTAAACCCTCCACCCCCTAGTAAAACACTCCTTGCACACAGTTAACCCTTTGATAGCCCCTCACATTAACCCCTTCCTGCCCAGTGCCATTAGTACAGTGTCAGTGCTTTTTTTATAGCACTGATCACTGTATTGGTGTCACTGGAGATGTCAGTAACACCAAGTTATTTCCCCTCCAGTGTCAGAATGTCTGCCGCAGTCCCGCTAAAAGTCGCTGATCGCCGCCATTACTAGTAGAAAAAAAATCACAGTATCTATTCCACCTTTAGTAAACGCTTTAACTTTCACGTAAACCGGTTCATTTACACGTATTGGGATTTTTTCTTTTTTTTAGCAAAGACATGTAGCAGAATACATTTTGGTCTAAATCTGTAACAAAAAAATACGTATAGTGCAAAAAATAAAAAACGCACAGGCAATCAAATACCAATAAAAGAAAGCTGTATTTGTGGGGAAAAAAAAAAGGACGTAAATTAAATTTGGGTGCAGCAAGGCATGACCGCGCAATTGTCAGTTAAAGTAACAGAGCGCTATGACACAAAAAATGGCCTGGTCATGAAGGGGGGGAAATCCTCAGGAGGGCAAATGGTTAATGTGCGCTGAGTTTAGCCATGCACAAAAAGTAGAACGCAGCTGTGTCCAGGGCCGCACACGCCTGTATATTTTATGGGCTTACACACATAAACCTGAACACGTGTAGTCATTCATTGGAAGGGCTGGTTCACAACGTGTTCCGTGTGCATTTCCCCGCATTGCGCTCATAATGCATTGCCTCTGCAAGCATTCACAGTACGTTTGTGGGCACCGAATCACGAGGTACCGTGGTGCTTTTTTTTTTATTTGCCTTGAGATGAATAGGCTGCATTGGTCGCACGGTGTGGGAATGGTCAGGAATGTGGGCGCGTTCCCGAGTGATCCTGAGGTGATCCGGCCCATAAAGAAGGACTGTACACTCAGGGGCGGACTGACCATTTGGAAACTCGGGCACTGCCTGAGGGCCCGGGGTCAGTAGGGGGCCCCATGAGATGCCCCCAGTACCTTTTTCATAGGCTTTTTTGAGTCTGGGCAAGGACACAGGGGCCCCATGATCCCCTATTGCCCGGGGCCCCATGAGTTGTCAGTCCGCCCGTGTACACTGTATCTGAATGTGGGCACTTGACGTGATATCTTTACAGAGGACCGTGCGCAGCTCGGCATGTGCAGAAATCACACATAGGCCCGTGTGGGAGAGGCCTGCTGGCTTTAGGAATGACGCCTCAGAGTTCCGCGCCAGGACCGGTGTAACGGCAAGAGGCACTTCATACAGACATATCTTCACGGGACACGCATCTTGCCGCTGCACCGGGCTGTGCCATCTCCGCCTTGTTTACCATTTGGTCAGCAGCTCTCGGGTGTCTGTCTTCTCCAGAAAGCTGAAGGTTCTCTCCGGCAGGGGGCGGAAGGTAAACGGCGCTTCTGTCTCCGACATCCTCCTGGAATCTTCTGTACTGGCCGTTTCTCCGTTCCTATGGAAACCAAGCGTGCGAAGAGCTCTGGAATAGGATTCCCCCCGGAAATGGAGGTAGGGTAGAAACGTTTTCCCTGACAGAGGTTCCTATGTGGGGAGTGTGTGCTGGGGAGCATTGCTGAAAAATAAAAGTAATTCTATAAGAATAGACTCAGGCTGTGTTACTAAACAACTCTCACAGGACACCCATATCCACTGAATATGTAGGCTCACTTCCATTGCTCAATACTGCTTTGGGAAATGCCACCTGCTTGGCTGTTATGTTGACTGAAAAGCTGGCATCGTTAACCACTTGCCCTCAGGAGGATTTACCCCCCTTCGTGACCAGGACATTTTTTGCTGTACGGCGCTGCGTTACTTTAACTGGCAATTGCACGGTCATGCAACGCTGCACCCAAATGAAATGTACCTCCTTTTTTTCCCCACAAATTGAGCTTTCTTTCAGTGGTGTGTTTTTTATTTTTTGCGCTATAAACAAAAAAAGACTGACAATTTTGGAGAAAAAACATTATTTTTGTTTTTCTATTAACCAACTCAATACCGGGCAATTTTACACCTTCCTGCCCAGGCCAGTTTTCAGGTCTCAGCGCTCTCACACTTTGAATGACAATTGTACGGTCATACAACATTGTACCCAAACTAAAATGTTATCATTTTCTTCACACAACTAGAGCTTTCTTTAGGTGGTATTTAATCACCACTGGGGTTTTTTTATTTTTTGCTAAATTAACAAAAAAAGACCAAACATTTTGAAAAAAAAAAGTTTTTCTTTGTTTCTGTTATAAAAGTTTGCAAATAAATAATTGCTCTTCATAAATTTAGGCCGCGATGTATTCTAATTCATGTCTTTGGTGAAAATAACCCAAATTAGGATGTATTATTTAGTTTGTAGGAAAGTTATAGAGTTCACAAACTATGGGATATATCTGAATATTGATCAATCCTGAAGTACTGACAGCCAATCTAATTTCTTGAGGTCCAAGAATGTCAGAACAGTACAGATATCCCCCAAATGACCCCTTTTTGCAAAGTAGACAGTCCGAAGTACTTTATAAGAGGCATGGCAAGTTTTTTGAAGTTGTATTTTTTTTGTCATAATTTTTTGGAAAATAAAAAATTAAAAAAATTAGTTTCACTATTTTCTTTTACATATTGTCACCAGTGCAGTACAGCATCATTATATAACTGGCATGGTGGCGATCAGGGACACTGACTAGTGACAGTATGAAAAAAACATTGTACTACTTTGGGGAAGTGATCAATATATAATTTTTTTTTTTTTTACACAATTTGCTTAAAGCAAAGAATTACTTTGCTATAAGCAAGCATTTACCTGAATGACATCGATTCATTCAGGGTTTTTTTTTTTTTTTTTTGTGCTTAGCTGTGATTTGGCCACAGCTAATCACATGACATGTGCATGTGATTAGCTGTGACCATTCACAGCTAGACACTAGTATACAATGGATGGCATGAATGAAGCCATCCATTGTATACAACTGTCATGTGACCTATTGTGATTGGTCACAGCAGGTCACATGATACCGGCAACAGGCCAATACTCAGATCTGTCATCGGCCGTGTCCGAGGTACACGGCCGGTGACAGATCGTGCCACTGCGCTGCTCTGCAGGAGCGCAATCTGCGCATGTGCGGGATGACGCCATATGGCATCCACCTGGACCGCTGATGACATTTGCTGCCCGCCCTTTGGGCAAAAATCCCAATACCTGTAAATTAATTGGTTTACGTGAAAGTTATAGCGTCTACAAATGGTGGTATATATAATTACATTTTTTTTTTATACTAATAGCGGCGATCAGCGACTTATAGCGGGACTGCGGCAGGCATTCCGACACGGGGGGGCGGGACTAAGTGCCTCTGACATCCCAATGACATTAATACAGTGATCAGTGCTAATAAAAGTTTGCATGTTCTCCCTCTGCCTGCATGGGTTTCCTCCAGGTACTCTGGTTTCCTCCTACGCTCCAAAGACATGCTGGTAGGTTAATTGGAGTGTATGCATGAGTTAATTAAGTGTATGCATGAATGTAAGTTAGGGACCTTAGATTGTACACCCCTTGAAGGTAGGGGCTGATGTGAATGTACAATATATATGTAAAGCGCTGTGTAAATTGACAGCGATCTATAAGTACCTGAAATAAATAAATAAATAGCACTGACACAGTACTAATGGCACTGGGCAAGAAGGGGTTAACATTTAGGGCGTTCAAAGGGTTAACAATGTGCTGTTTTACATCATGTGCTGTGTGGCTTAGGAGGGTCCATTTAGCAGTATGGCATGAACAGGATCAATCTGTAGAAGAAGATGAAAGAAAAGAGCGCACAAACCTTGCGCATTACCTCAATAAATAGTGACTAATTTTATTATTAAAGAAATATACTCACAAAGTGATGGCATAACAGGCATAAGTAACCATAATCCAAACAGGGTTACAGGTAAATCCAAAGGGGGGGTAAACAGGCTGAACTGCTGTAATACCGACACTCAGTGGCTGAATGTCTCCTTGCCATGGGAACTCTGCCATACTGAAGTCCCTATCTGCTCAACCCAGCTCTGATGAAGAAGGGAGCACCCTTCGAAATGCTTTAGCCTTCATTCCCCCCCCCCCCCTTTTGGATTTAACTGTAACCCTGTGTGGATTATGTTTACTTATGCCTGTTATACTATCACTTTGTGAGTATATTTCCTTAATAATAAAATTAGTCACTATTTATTGAGGTAATGCGCAAGGTTTGTGCGCTCTTTCTTTCATCTTCTTCTACAGTTTTATCAAGCTTCCCCAGCTTCATGATAAAGCTGCACAACCTCTGATCACCAGCGGAGAAATGAACACGCTGCTTGTTACTAACGCCCGTTTGATCTGAGTCTTTGAGCGCAGGAGATAATGGATCTTTGGTGACTATGAACAGGATCAATGCCTGGGAGCAAGGAGGACAGAGTGAGTACATGGGTACACCCAGGGCTTTACAAGGGGAGAGACTACCACATGTAGCAAGCTTTCAAAGGATAGCGCTGTGCTTAATCCTTTATCATTGTCCTAGCAGCCAGGAGGGCTGGTAGTATCTGCAGGTTGCGGAGCTGGGAGCAGTTCTACAGGGGAGAGGAGACATCTCTACATGTAGTTTGCAATAAGTTAAGCTAACTTTCAAAGGGGCCGTAAGGGGCTGTTGCTACTGATCCGCAAAAACTGACGGCTTTCAAGGAGGAGAACAGCCCAGGATCTGTTTATGTAAATAGGAAGGAAGTTGTCTCCATACATTGATTCAGTCAAGTTGAGCATCCTATAATCCCTATTACTTTACCCAAGTTATTTCTCCTAATAAAATAATGAAAACCAAGCTCACGGACTGTTCACAGACTATGGGTGCAAGTGTGTAAAATGTGTGTTACCTGGCTGTGAGAAGTTTAGGAGGACCTAGAAACACAACAGCCCTCATGAAGGTAGCGCTACACACCCATCGCAGATTCCCCTATCACTGATCAACCAATCCCTGATCCACGGGTGCATCCAGCCGTGATCCACTGATTACTGATCTACCAATCACTAACCTACCAATAAATTGTCCACCCATCTTTGATCCACAAATTAATGACCCACCCATCCCTGATCCAATGATTACTGTAGATCCACTATTCCCAACCCACCAATTAATCCACCCATTTGTGATACACACATCCCCTGTCCACCAATTAGGCAACCACCCATACTTGATCCACTAATTACTGTAGATTCACGATTCCTAATCCACCAATTAACGATCCACCCTTTTCTGATGCACACATCCCTGATCCACCAATTAAGCATTCACCCATATTTGATCACCACTAATTGCTGTAGATTCACCAATCCCTGATCCACCTCTCCCTAATCTACCCATCTCTGATCCACCCATTCTTGATCCACCCATCCCTGATCCACCGATTAATGATCCCCTCATCCCTGATCCACTGAAATTCAGCCTTGACAAAATTGAGAAGCACTGGATGAAATTGTTATGGGTCATTGTGAAGGGATGAAATTACATGATGTTACATTTTAAATTAATTAATTTATTCAGCGAACAGGTGGAAGTCCCTCAAAAGCATTTAGGCAAGCACACTCTATCCCATTAAGTGGTATTTAACTCGGGCAGTACCCCTTTAAGGCACAAGATGAGATGCAGGTTTTAATCAGGAGGTTTAATGAGTGGACACACTCACTGGCAAAGAGGTCATTGCTTGTTAGGCTGCAGTAGCAAATGGCAACAACGACAAGTGTCCCTTGATGGATGTTGACCATTTGCAAAGAAAACAGTGACATGGTTTTTCCCACAGAGAGAGGACACTGCAGTTGGCTCTGATGACTGGATTATGCTGAAGATGTGTTTGCTAGCAGGCTGGGCGAACTAGGCCTCAACTTGTTTAACTTGTGAATAATGGCAGTAATTGTATAGTGAATAGCTGATTCAATAGAATGTCACTTAATTGGTTGGAGATTGGGACTCTCTCACCCGATCTATTACTGGTGGTGTCACTGTACATGGGGACCACCAGCAGTCCTGCGGTTCCTCTTGCAGAGTTTGTGACAGTAGCCCTGCGGTTCTCCGTCAGGTTAGTGCTCCAGGTTTCTTGGAGATGCCAGTGGTCAGCTATTCCTCCCTCTTTCTCCGCTCTCTCACTCTGCGGCTTGGTCCGGTCCTCCGGCCTTGAGCACAGCTTTCTCCTCACACCTTCTTTCCAGCTCTCTCTCAGTTCACTTACTGCCTCTGTTCCCGGGCTTCTAACTTTATATGCCTCCAACCACACACCAGCTCCTCTGGGAAAGGTAGTCCCTTAATCCGCTGCCTTCCAACAAGGTCCTGCAGTTCAGCTTACAAAATCCATTAAATCGGAGCTCCACCCAAAAGGGGAAGTTCCGCTTTAAGGACTGCTCCCCCGTTCCCCATTAAGGATTGGCA